CCGCCCCCTGAGTAAGTTAGGGGCTGGGGCAGTGCAGAGGGTGACGATCCCTTTGCCGGTCCCGGTCCGGTACGGGCGCGACACTGAGGGTTGCGATCCGTTGCCGGACACGAAAAAAGACAAAAAGGAAAAAAAAAAAATAAGCTTATGTCATCTCTACTAGATGTCACCTCTCTCCCAAGGTGATGAAGATGCAAAAAGGATTACTCACAGCCCATTTCTTCTGAGCAGTGAGAAGCCCCAAAGGGGTTAATTTTCCTCAAACTGTCAAGAGAGAGGCATTCCTCTTTGGAAAATTAACACCAAACTATTTATTCTTCAAGCAGGAAAGTTACAGAAAAGGAACATAGGTGGTTAGAAAGAATGGTAAGATAATTGTCATGGCAACAGTCATTAGGTTTAGTTACACCAAGGACATCTGTGCTTGGAGTCAGCAATTTTGCTGTGTTACAATTCTCTTTTTCTTTTCCTTTTTGTCTTTTTTCGTGACCAGCAACGGGATCACAACCCTTGGTGTTGCGCCCGCACCGCGCTCAACCAGTGAGCAGACCGGTCTCTATATGGGATCCGAACCCTTGGCGGGAGCACCACCGCACTCCCAAGCGCCGCACTGTACCGAGTGCGCCACCGGGCCGGCCCTGTGTTACAATTCTTTATCTACAACAGAGACTTTAGCCTGGAGAAAGTTTCCTGTCTTTTGCAAGCTTAACATTTCTATGTGTAATTTTAAAAAGTTAGGCTATACCTGAAACTACAGGGCTTTGGAAGCTAGGCCCTGTGAAATCTATTTGCTTTATAAATGTTAGTATCCTCCACAGCTAGATGTTTGAGATTATAAAATTATAAATTCAACTTAAGAACAAAATGTGTGATAAAAATGAATTGTGTGATGTATATGTTAGGCATGTCAGTAAAAAAAAAAGAAAAAGAAAGAACCACATGTTCATATGTTTAACTTTTTAGGTTCTTTGCTTCTGTGATTTTTGATACTTGCCTAACATGCATATGCTACAAAACTTGTCAACAAGAAAATAGCTTAAGATGATGGCTAGCCCTGCTTAATGTCTCATGAAATTTTCATGAACAATTCAAGCACAATTGTCAGGAACACTAGAATTAAATAAATGTAACTGAGATAAAGGTTTATAAATAAACTTTTCAATGATGATTATGTTTTATAATATGTCTGCTTAAAAGTAGTTTCCAAAATCTTTCTGGTAACAAAGATAAGTTAAATAATACATACTCACTGAATGTCTAGATCATTTCTAAATAAGATAAAATGCTGAAACATTAATTACTGAACATAAGTTTAAGTTTACCTACTTTTGTCTTATTTGTACGGAGAGACAAAAGATATTGGGATCTGCTAATAAACATTTTCTTTTGCCTTATTGAGGAATTGTGCTGTTAAAGAAGCATATGCCTCTAGAAATTATGAAATGGTGTATCCATGAATCTGCTAATCTACTGCAGAATGCTAGTACCTGACCATTCACAATCGTTTACTTCGTCATTTTCACTGGAAATAAAAGTTATCATTTGATAAGCAGAACTAATCAGTTATGTTGGGCCGGCCCCGTGGCTCACTCGGGAGAGTCTGGTGCTGGGAGTGCTGAAGTCACGGGTTTGGATCCTGTATAGGGATGGCTGGTGCGCTCACTGGCTGAGCGCGGTGTGGGCGACACCAAGCCAAGGGTNTCATTTTCACTGGAAATAAAAGTTATCATTTGATAAGCAGAACTAATCAGTTATGTTGGGCTGGCCCCGTGGCTCACTCGGGAGAGTCTGGTGCTGGGAGTGTTGAAATCACGGGTTCGGATCCTGTATAGGGATGGCCGGTGCACTCACTGGCTGAGCGCGGTGTGGGCGACACCAAGCCAAGGGTTATGATCCCCTTACCGGTCACACACACACAAAAAAGAACTAATCAGTGATGCCAATGAAACTACTAGGAATAATAAGGTGGAAGAAAACTGTATGTAAAGTATGCAAGGAAACTAAGT